GATGCCACACAGATACACACGTCTGCAAAAGGCCTAATCTGAAGTGAATCTTCTATAAATAATAAACAACAAATAGGTTCCTTTTAGTTATATTAGCCCCAAAATAGGTCATGTACATTAGTTTTAAATGCAAACTTAACAATAAAGTAAATTCCCTAGGTGGAGAATTTGATGTGTTTGTGCAAATTTTCTGGACACAGTACAAAAAAAAGCCAACACCTATATTTTACCATTTAAAATATTAGTCCTCTGTTTGAAATACTGTTTATAATAAACTCCCTATGAGAGAACTAAAGTCACAGGTAAACACTTGCCATTTGTTACTTAAACACAAAGTAATCTCTAACTTTTTAAATAGAAACTTAGTGTTTTCCATTGCTACTAGAAAAGCTGTCACCTTTGCCACCCTCCTGCCTCCAAATAATCTGACTTTTCACTTCATGGTCTACATGATGTTGGGGCTCCATGGGCTACTCAAGGAAGGTGGTGTAGGAGAGCGAGCCTTGTGTCCTTAGGCTTTGGCTCTCTGGGCTCTGTGCCTCCTCTGGAAATATTAATATCATTTCCAAATAAAAAAAGGCTGCAGGGACTGCCCAGGCAGTTCTGTTAGTGCTCCCCCAAATATAAACCCGAATATGTTAAAACTCTGTGGGTAATTGCAAGACAAAGGAAGGAATATCTGAGAAACAGGTAATTTATTGTGGTTGTTTGGAATTAAAATGGCTACGACACCTATTGTCATTTTCATACAATATCTGACTAATGTAGCGGTGTTTGAGTTTTAATTGGCATCTTTAAGTGCTTCTCTAAGACAAATAATACATATAGGATGTTTCTCAGTAGAATCAGACAAAGGTAAAATGCTAAAAATTGTAGTGCCACATTTTCCATCTCGTGTTCTTCCGTGGAGCGAGGCAGGATCTGAAGTTCTGTGCGTCACCCATTGTAACACACATAATTTCTCCGTCCCTATTCATTTTCATCCCTGAGATGCATTGTAAAAGTGTAAATCCATCACTAGATAATTTTCAGTTCCATTATTTACCAAAATGAATAGTTAAGCAAGTCATTGTTATTGGTGGGATGCTATTGTTGTTTCGCAGAGATAGGGCCTGCCAAGGGCTTGAGTGATGTGCACTTGAGTGTTCTTTCAAGATCCTTGTACCTGTTTCATTTGGGAGGAGTTTCACTCATGTAAAATCAAACAGAAACAATTTTAGTAGCCTCTGAAAAGAGAAGAAGGGAAAATGGATATTAATGAACTATTTAATATTCTGCTGTGGCAGAGATGCAGTGATTTTGCTGTTGACACTTTTGCATGGAATTAAAGAGATCTGGTGGTTGTTTTACTCATCTGTCTTTGTTCCTGAAAGACTTTTCAGTGTCATCAGATTTGGTTTTGTAACCTGAGAGAGATTTTACAGACACGCAGACAAGAAAAAAAAGCGCTTCTTTTTCATGAAATTCATTGGTATTCAGAACATGCCCCTTTGATGAATTAGAAATTTTGGCTAAAGCTTTAATGAGATTTTTATTTCCTGAACTTATGTTGGAAAATGTGTGAGCTGCACGATTCACAATTCTGAATAAAGGTGGGTTTAGTTTTTTTGTTCAGGAATATTTCTGGCTCATTATTGCTCAGTATTCTATTGATTTGTGAGTTGAGAAGTTCACGGGGGAGGTGGAACAGTTTAGAGCTACAGATCTCTACTTTGTGACACAGAACATTGTGGGGAGCAGAGCCTTTGGTTCCTGGATGCAGGAGAACCTGGGGAACCTCTAACAGAGGAATCTGCAGCAATAACTGTCTCCTGTTTTTTGTGCTTCGCCTCTTTTAATTCCAGCATTAGTCAGTACCTGAAGTTCCCTTGGAGTTTCCAGCTGCTGCTCCTGTTATGGTGTGTTCAAGGTCCTGAGCTGTGAACGTAGACAAGCACATTTACATACTTGCTGCATAAATGGAACTGGATAACCATTTGTATTTATTTCACGTTTAGTAGAATCTTTCATTGTGTGGCTGGTTGTTTTGGACAAGTGGACAAGTGATTTGGGAAGCTTTCCAGAAGCTGTCATTGAGTGGTCTTTGGTTTTATAACCTCCCTTGTTTTCCAGTACTGTGCTACTCACAAATATTCTCATGACTCAAACCCATTTGATTCATATGAGTTACCACATTTCGATACTTACATGTGTTCCAATATGTTAAAAATACTAAGAATTTTCCAAGTTATCATTGTACTTTGTCCTTTAATTTACTTAAAATCAAAGTTTTTCAGGGTTACAATACTTACAGAAATGTTTTGGTGTTGACTGAAAAGAAGGGTGTATGAGTATATAGGCTCAGCAGTTAGGGAAGATTTTTTGTTAGTCATATGGACAGGAAGAAATTCTGTTTGTTCACGTCCAACCCCAGCTAAATCAGTGGTTTTCACTTCTTTGTGCCAGCTACTTTCTGGATTTATCCTGAACAAGAAGTGGAATTACTGAATTAATGCCCAGGAAGGGAGTGTCCTGTGTTACCTGCTGCAGTCCAGAAGTCCTTCGTAAATGGTGAGTAAACCTCTTTTTGGATTTTCTCGCTGGATTTTTAGTATTATTTCAATGAGGTTCAGGTCAGAGCTGTTGGTTTTCCAGCTCTCAGTGTGGTGGTGTGTGAGTTGTGGCCACACTGTGAGTTGAAGTCTTTGCACATAGGTTAGGAATCCTGTCTTTTCAGAACTTAGCTCTGTATTTGTGCATTTAGGGACTATTCCAGCAATAATTAATGTAGCAATAATTATGATCTTTACAATTTTATCTGCAGCAGTTGCAGCAGTCAGTGATGTGCCCATGTTAATGGCCCCAGAATATGAAGGTGATCTGTGTCTGAACATGTGTTTTTGCAAGAATGAGCTTTGTGCCACATTCTCACACTGCCCTGGGAGAGAAATTTCTGAAAATAGGATACAAATGCAAATCTGGGTTTAGAAATATTGAAACACCTGTGTGCTAATGCTGGTTCCTTGCTGTGAGGTGTTGTTTCCGGGGTAAGTTTGGTGATGATGTTGCCAGTGTAATTTTATTCTGATGTATCCAAAACCACGATGCAATACTATTTGAGAGTGTAAGATTTTTTTTCTGCATTATGTAGTGCTAAGTGTGCTTTGCTTCTCTGTCGTCAGTGCTCTACTTGTGCGTTGAATTTTGGCCAAAATAACTTGAATTGCAGCAGGGGTGGGAAAGAAGAAGGTGCTTGTAGACAGGTTTGTGGAATCACTGCAGCAAGTTTTAAATGATGTATGAAATGAAAAATTCCTGTCTGATGCACAGAGCGAGCAGAGCCATTGATGTCTGTGAAATCGCTGCTGCGAGAGGCTATTTCAGAGAATCACAGGATGGTTGGGTTAGAGGGACCTTAAAAACCATCTCATTCCACCCCCCTGCAATGGACAGGGACACCTTCCACTAGAAGAACTTACTCAAGTTCTTCTAATACTATTTCAGAAATGCCAACTTTTAATTTTTTATAAAACTCTTCTGCTTTTATGTGAAAGACCGAACTCTTGCACAGCAACAAAAATTCATTAGAAAAATCTTTCAAGATGCTGCATCGATAAATATCCTAAGGCAGTTTTCTGGGTTTGTGTGTGTTTTTGAGCCTGGGCAGCTTTACTTTGCAGAACACTATGTGGGTGTGACGGTGGTGGTGAGAATGCTTTGAACCATCCTAAAGTGAGAATTTTAAGGGCTGAATGATGAGATTCAAGTTCAGGAGTTCCATGGTTTGAGAGGCAGAGTGGGTTTAGGAACTGGAGTGGAGGTGAGAGTGATACCCACCAGAGAACCAAGAGTACAGGGTTTGTGGTGCAGGGATGGATGGTTGATACAGAACAGGAACTCCAGAGACAGGACATGCTCCAGTTTTCCATCTTAGTCACCCAAACTGTTTACCTGCATTTGATGACATGGCTCCTGTGGGGAAAAATGACATTATTTCAGTTAAAACAGACTTACAAGGATCCAAAGTAATGTTATCCCGGTTAGTTAAACATCTGTATTTCCTAGCAATCGAATCTGATACGTCTGTGTCAGTCTGAAAATGTAGTTCTGAAAGTTTATTTAAGGAATGTGTGCATAGGTAACTGCATATGTGTACAGAATTATACAGCATCCTTCAGCAGGTTTCACCTGTTTTTTCAATAATTCCTTGGTGTAAAAAACCCAAGTAATTGCACCACTGAAGTACACAGATTATTGACTCTAGAAGACTTTTGCATTTCAGTTATAGATGTCCTAGAAGGGATCTCTCAAGCACAGGAAGCACCTTTCAGCACCTTTTCTGCATAGTCTTTGCATATATGATTCTTCAAGTCTCTTATAATAGAATTTTGTTGTGTTTTTAAATTGCTGGTGGTCAGGATTTTTTACACTACTGTGGAAGACAATTAATACTGGAAGGGAAATAATTTTTATATTGCGCTATCAGATTTCTTAGAAAGGAGAAAATAGTGTCTGAAGAAATTGAGAACACTCATAAATCCTACTTTGTTATTTATTTTACTTTTTTTAGAATTTTTACGCTGTGTTTCTGCTTTCTAAAAGCATGTATGTACTTCCAGCTCTGCTGTGCTGATCCAAGCAAGCTTTTCAGTGCTTAGAAGGAAAAAAGATGATAAGAGAACAGTGTATAGATGGCTTTTAAAGCCAGCAGCTGATTTGTTTGTTGTCATTACAGTCAGTATTGCCCTTTTCTTAGTTCCTCAATATTGTTTCCTTCATTCGGTATCTGGGGTTTCCCAATTGCCTGTCTGATCCATCTGGTGGCATTTCCCAGCTTCTGAGCCGTCCTGTCAGAGCAGAAGCGCAAAAGCAATGAAGTGATGAACAGACCCCTAAATTCACTTACGCTGGCTTGTACCGGCGTTACCCGAGCTCTTTATGCCCTCCTGTCTCCAGGTCTCCCAGCCCAGGATCCCGGTCTGTGTCCATGGTATCCCAGCCCATGTTTGGCTGGGGCACAGCAGTGCCTGACAGCTGGTTCCAGTGTCTGCTCTGCCCTGTCTGCTTGGCTCAGAGGGAGCACTCGGAGAAGTGGCCACTGCTTGTGGTTTAGTGATGTGGGAGCAAGAACTGCTCCTCCCTGAGCCTGATTCCTTCCATCTCTCCAGCTTTTCCCCTCCTTCCTCTGGTGCAGTGCTTTACAATTCCCAGTGTGATAACACTCTTCTCCTCAGACCTGCCTCTTCCCCAACTCCTTGGGTCATCCCCTGAAGGAGTTCTTGTTCCCAGAGCCCTGCAGGGAGCCCTGACATGACTTGGAAGCCACTGTAGTCACCTCAGCTTCTCAGTAAACCTGGCTCTGGTGATGCAGTGGGATAAAACCAGAACTTCAGCCAGAGAACATTTCTGGTTTTGTCTTTCGTTCTCTTTTTTTCAAGTTGTCTTGAGTCAAATTACTGAATGTCTTTGTATCTTAGTTTCAGTCTTTGTCTTAAAATGTTTTGAAATCTGTAGAGAGAAATCACTCTTTTAAAAAGTATTGATTGGTGTTTCAAGTGCTTGTTAATGTGCTAAAACATGTTTTGTTCTTCTGAGGAAACTGCTCTTCATTCCAGGTTATAGTTGTCTTGGCCTTGAAGTTGAAAATGAAGGTGTTGCCTTTAAGATCATTTACTCTAGGTAGTAATTTTCATGTGGTATTACAAATATCTAATATTAAAAGATTAAATATTGTAGTATTATTATATAACATTGTAATATTATTAGACTTTGCTTTACTGGAAATGGATGGTTTTGCAATGCATATACTCTGGGAAAAAGAGAATAAGGGGTACAGTGATAGTTGGGATAGTTGTGATAAAATAGGAAGCAATGGCATGAATTAACCAGGTAGTCAACCACTTTTTTACTAAAATTATTTGACACAAGAAAGGGTTCTGCTTGGTTTCTGAAAAGCATTTACTACTGAATCTGAACTGGTTTTAACCAAATTGGGGTGTGGATATTAGTCTCTGAAAAATATTCTCATTAAAAAGTGCTGCAAGCTCAGTCCTTTCCTGAGTCCTGCAGAGACACTGACACCATCAGCCCGTGGAAAATACTGTTTGCAGCAGATTGTTTGTAAGAACTGTTGTGCAAATAAAAGAGTGTTTGTGTGTTGAAAATTAATTTATCAGGCTGTCTGGAAAGTTACTTGTTCCTCAAAGTTCAACCTTTTTTTACACATCTTATTTGTAACTCTTCTATAAATGTCACCTGTGGTTTACTGAAATCGGGCTGAAGACCCAGTACTGCGACGTGCTGTTAATGGAGAGAGAGTTCGGGATGTTAAATAGGGAGAACTGGATGGCTTTGAAGGAGTGATGAAAATAAGGTGCTAGTAAGAACAGCTTTACTGCTGCTGCAAGTGGAGTGTTTTCTCAGGGGGAGGGGGCATGGGCTGACAACAGTCCAGCTGTGTCACCAACACCATGGCTCCTGGAAAAGCCAAGTGCAGCCCTTGGACATGCAAAGGAAAAGTAATTCCAGAGAGGTTTGCTAAATACTGGTGCTGTTGTAACAGTAACTGGCAGGAGCTCATCTATTTACAGAGGAAAAATGTGAAATCAGGACTATCTCTCAGTCGGGGAACAGTGCACGGGGGATCTTTAGATCTCATCATTACTCAGGGCTGGAACAATTAACACTGAGTCAGGACTTTGTTTTTCTTTAACAAGGAAAGTATGATGGGTCATTTCTCCTAATGATGCTCCTGAATGTGTTGGAGATAAATGATTTGGTAATCTGACAAATAGGAAGAAGAACATGAAGTGTAAGATTACTTTTTTCCCCTTCTGAAAGTGTTAGAGCCACCATGACACTGGTAGCAGGTGGAAGAAGAAAACAGTTCTTGAACTCTCTGCTAAATTGATATACTAATCGGAGTGCCTTTTACAGAAAAGAAAGAAGAGCCCCATTTTGCCTGGACTCTATCTTTGCTATTTTCCTTTTTCAGAAATAGAAGATTAGGAGGTGTCTGCACCGATGTGATAAAACGTTCCCACGGAACTGTATTGTATTTTCGCCTTGAGTTGCCGGTGAAATGAAGTTGTTGGCTTTCAGTGCTGCTTTGTTTTTGACCCCTTTTTGTGAATTCTCCGAGGAAAGAAACATATTCCCATCTTTTATAGTAATCAAATTTATCTGGCATCTCTCAGCCTCTTGCATTACTTATGCTACAGTTGGCCAGCCTTGGGAAGGCTTTAGCGAGTTTATTTATTTATTGTTCTAAAGTGAAGGTTTTTGACTTGAGGTCCCCACATAATCCATGGGGATTTGAAGAGAAAAAATGAAAGTGCTTTCTGCCATTATTTTGATATAGTTATTTTCTGTGAAACTGTTTAAAAAAAACCCCCACACCACCCAAAACCTAACCCCCCCCCCCCATGAGTCCAAAAACCCCACTGAGAGAAGAAAAAACTTGATTAACTTAGTTGTGTTGGAAATGTTCTCGTTCCACTGGGAGGAGGTTGTTGAGTCTGATGACATTGCATCTGGGAGAATTTCAGCTTCATAATTGTCTGTGTGTGCTA